ACACACACACACACACATACACACACACACACACATACACATACAGATATATAAACCACCAAACTCCCATATCCAAACAGAGAGAGAGAAAAAAGAGACACAGAGAAAGCCTAGGATATGTTGCAAAAATATTCAACAGTGAAGTTTAAATCAGCTGAAAGGAGCTTGATAAATCCTTGACTTAAAGTGGTTAAGAAGCAGATTATAAATTAAATGTGTACTTTGTTCTAATTACATGGCAATGTAACAAAAAATTGTTATCATCTGCATAGCACACATATTACATAATCCCTATATGTATTAATTTGTATATTAAATGTTACTAATATGCAGAGTTAGCTCAGGGGCTTGTCATTGTACAGAATTCCAAAAATAATTTTAATATAGTAAGTCCAATACATTATTATAGATAAAGCTGAAAAACAGATAATTCAAAAGCAAGTGCTTTTACATGCTTTTGAAATTCAGTCTATCCTTGGAATCCAGTGTGGTGGTGTTTAACCCTTTTCTTTCAGAGTGCTAATTTCCATTCTTAGATACGAATCCTAGAGCACTGCAGAACTGTGAACGTACAGCTAATCTTGTTTCTAAGCTGCTCTCCTAGTTGCCCAGTAAAGAGTGTAGAGGATTCGTGACTCACCTAAAGCAGAATGACAGACTTGCTGCTGTGGATGAGCAGGGGCACAGCTGCAAGCTTCGGTCAGCCCCTGAATGCTGAGGGTTAGAAGGAGCGGCAGTGGAAATAGCCAGGCACTGAACAGAGGAGTCATGCTGCTTGAAACACAACTGGCTGGCCAGCTTAAAGAAAAGGCTCTTTCGCTGTTCAATTCTTATCTAAATTTGCTAATGACGACCTGGTTTCTTCTTTGTGCAAGCAGCCGTTTAATTTCAGCAGACTAAACCTTCTTGGTGGGGGGAGAAGAGCTGTCACAGCCCAGCCTGAAGGTATACTTACGTTAACTGACTTCTGAGGTCCCTGACATGGAAACTGTTTTTCCTTCCTTTAAGCAAACCCCGCCTTCCTTTAAGCCAAAAGCATAACATTGGTGAAAGTATGAGAGATTCCTTATATCAGAAGAAAGGCTACTTTATTCATTATAAGTCATTGTCAGAATTGGTTGGGAAGACCTTTCAGAACATAGATTCTCTTCAATTTTGGAATATTTAGCAAAACTGTGTTTGCGCGTGTGTGGTGTATTACAGTATATAGGAATTTTCCATTTCACACATTATCTGAGTAAGCCATTTCTTAAAACCCAGTGTTTAATTGTAAGGCTCACTTTTAGTTCTAGCTCATATCTTTTGCTGTCTGTATCTTTTTCATAACATCGCTATGCTGGTTATACAGACCATCATTTATGAAGGGGCAAGATTTCTGCCATATTTGTCATGCCTACGTAATTGGTGCATATAACAATACAGTAAGATAATTCAACAGTAATAGTTTAAGTTCCAGTTGTGTGTTTGTGTGTGTGTGTGTGTGTGTGTGTTTATTATGGGCCAAAAGAAAGAAAAAGCAAAATTCACAGAAATTCACATTTCCTAAACGTAACACACACACACACACACACACACACCATGTCATATTCTACAAATTGTTAACATTTCATTCATTTTATTTAACAATAGATAAAATTGGAAAATTAAACATATAGATTAGTAGCCCTAATATCTAAGTCTTCCAAATTGGACTACAGCCAGTAAAATACTTGTGGAAGTTATCTGAGTAAGCCATTTCTTAAAACCCAGTGTTTAACTGTAAGGCTCACTTTTAGTTCTAGCTCATAATCTAGCTCATAAAGAAAGGTGAGTTATTCAGACACTGCTGGAAAATAGGTATCTTTCTAATCTTGTAATACTGATTTGTGATCAGAAAACCATGCAAAGTCCATTTCCATAGTCCTCCCATTAGATTACCAACTGTTGGTATATAATTCAAAGGGTAAAGGAGTTCTATAGCAGACAGATATTTGCTTCTCCAGTTTATTCAATTGCAATGAATAAACTGGAGTTACTTTGTCATGTTGCTGTAAAAAAAAAAAATTAAATAGTACTATTTGAAGCCCAAATTCATGGTCCTTTTTCAGTAAGCCAGCCCTTTAACTTGGAGCTGTATTCCTGAAATTGAAACTCATGGTCAGTTTCATGCTGTTTTAGGAAATTAATTTTGGCCTTCCTATTGTTCTCAAAGGGGAGCTTCAGTTATAAAGGAAGATATATTTATTCCCACTCCCTACCAACTGTCTATGGTCAAATTTTGAAATATTTTATTATAGGAGGGAAACATACAAGCAGCAGATTCCCCCCCCCCCCCACAGCAGTTGCAGTTGTTGCAGTTCACACTTTCTGCCTCTTTAACCCAGTGGTGGCTCCAAGGAGGCTCTTTTCAGCTCTCATCTTGCAGGAACAACCTGCCCACCTCACTGGCTCCTCCCACAGAAAGCCTCCAGGCTACCCCAGGGTCCCTTTCATAAAGACAGGCCCCTTGCTCACCCCTTGCCTGGACCCAGGCAGGAGGAAGGTTGCGTGGGATGGTGCTGCAATTAGGGGCTCCTCACATGATGCCTTTGTTCCCTTGAGGCCCCTGTGTGAAACTTGTGAAAGGAGCTCTCCGTGCCAAGAAGAACATGGAGGAGACTCAGAGGGATGCAGGCCAGACAACTCATGTCTGCTATACATTGTTGCTGTCACAACTATTTACTATTTATTAAATTTGTACACTGCCCAACTCCCAGCAACTCTGGGTGGTTCACAAAGTAAAAACACAGAAAAATTCACAATAAAACAATATAACAAGACAAAGGAGCAAAAAGATGGCAAAACCGGGCAACATCAAAAAACATCCAGATGTGCTCAGAAGGGCCTTCAGCTACCCTAGCCAGGTCTTCAAGGCCCTCTGAAATGCCAGTAGGGTGGGAGCCACGCAGATCTTGGGGGGAACATCATTCCAGAGAGCAGGCATTGCAACAGAGAAGGCACGCTTCCAAGTTCCCAATAGATGGCATTGCTTAATCAAAGGAATCCGGAGCACACCAACTCTGTTGGATCAAATCAGGTGGGCAGATACTATGGGAGATAGGTGGTCCCTCAAATAATCAGGCCCTATGTCATAGGAATATGCCACTGCCAACCTGGTTCTGGGGTAATGCTGTAGCCCTGGTGGTATCATCGTGGCTTCACTTCTCTTCTCCCCTTGTGGCAAGAGAAGAAGTTGCTACTGTTGCTTCTGCTTTTTGCAATGGTTGAGCTGCGGGCAAAACCCACAGCTTCCCCAAATAGAAGGAACAGAATGCTAAGGTGGTAGCAGCCACCTTCTCTTTTTCTCCTCCTGGCTAGACTTACTTCAGTCCAATGGCTGGACAGGCCAGCAGAGCTCTTGGCCATCAAGATCAGGCGGCCTGGCTTATCCTCCAGTTGCCTTCCTGACTTGCCTTGGTGACTATGACTGCCAGAAACCCTCCTTGTTATGGGGGTCTTTTTCTCGATTAGCATTTTATTCTGGCACCAAACTAAACCTTTGAGGGTCTAGTAATTATTTAAGTCTCTAATTTAATGGAACATGAAGAAGATATAGGGTAGCATGGACACTTGGTTAACATAGGAGCAAAGAAGAAATGAAATAACTGTAAAAAACATTTTTCAAGCCAGTTCACTTATTTCTACAAATTATCTATACTGTGTCAATGCTAGCCTATCCTAGCCATAAATGTATTCCTAACTATCTCCTTGACAGGGGGAGGTATTCCCAGGCTTGGCCTCTGAGTCTTTCTCAGACCTGTCTTCTGCCTATCTCTCTGAAACACCTGTCTCCCAGCTCCCTCCTCCTTTTGGAATATAACCTGACTATCCAATCATCACATGGACTCAGGAAGAAGAAGCAGGCAGCACCTCTCTCACCAACACCCACAGAAAGCTTTCAAACTAGGTACTGGCAGCAAGTGAGCAAGTGCATACCAGCTGCTGGAGGCAGAGTGACATGAATGGACCTCTCCCCTCAAGTTTGCTTGAGAACCCCTGCTGCATAGAATTATACAGCAGCGTATCTCTCTTATTCCTTTATTGTTTTTCAGTGCTAATGCCAACTAATTAAGTATTATTGCAGGCTGCAGCAAATAGCTTGGAGGATCTGCATTTTGAAACCCCTGATGTAGAAGATAAGCATCCATAATGAAAATTAACATTAGGACTCATTTAGGTCTTGCATTTATTTTGAGAAGACCAAACAAGACCTTCAATCCTAATGTGTTCTGTTCAAACTACAGGCTCTGGCAGAACTAACTGAAACTGGGACCTGATGTTCATCCTATATACTTCCATATCAGATTTTTTCCGTTGGTCTGAACATCTGTAGGATGCCATACCATGTGTTCTTTGCAAGAAACTGTATTTGCTGATCACATCTTGCTAGTCTTCCTTTCTTCTTTTCTTGTGTAGAGTATGGAGATGGGCTTGAAGAAGATATTCAGCAGCTGTTAGGTAAACTCCACCTTAGCTCTGAAAGGGAGGAGGAGGCAAGGAATAAACTCAAGATTGCTCCCCTTAATTCTCGTTGGTATAACAGGGGGAGAGACAGTCTGTGACAGGAATTCAATATTCTGTTGCTATACCCTGCAACAATAAAATAGAATTACAATAGTCTTTGTGGAGTCTGTTCCTGACCTGGCCTTCTTCAAAAGGCTGAGACCTGTTTAGCAAAAGCAGAATCTGACTTAACATGATTAGACTCTTGACCCTGCACTGGTCATTCTTTTTCATCTGTTCTGATAAGATTATTCAAGAGGAAACTGCAATAAATACTTAGTACTGGGGCAGTTCCTAACTTCTTCACTATTGAATGAATGTTTCTCGTATTGTTTCAGATATGATTTGGCTTGGGATGCAGTTGCATTTTCTTACATTATCATGGGGTTTTGTTGTTACTATTTTGGATTGACACATAGTTTCTGTAAAATAATTAAATTACAATATCCATGGAGACACATATACTATTTTGTACTACAGCATGCTCAGCATCTTATTTAGCAGTACTATAGACATACTTTAAAATCAGATATACAAATGGCTGAAATATTTCACACACACCCTTCCCATTTCATTGATATAAGTCTTTTTATCAGAGGATATTCCACTACTTTGGGCAAAATATGCTATGTTCAATATAATCTGGAGTCTTCATTTACAGCAAAATGCTTTAATTAATGAATAAAAAAACAAATAAAAATTGCCAGCTATAATTTTTATTATTTTGACAGATACATAGTATCGGTGTAAAACTAATCCATATATATGATACTTAAAACTTGTGAAAATGTTTCCTAATTATTTTAATGGCTTTTCTCAGTATTGTTTGAAGTTCTTTAAATTGAAAAAGCAAATATGTCTAATAAATCAGTAAATTACAGCAGAATAGTACACAGATGTTATATCCAGATTACAGTAATGATTTTAAAAAATAGTTTTATTTTGAAATCTTTTCTTTCTAGCCACAACTGCCTTAGAGAAGGTTGTATTTCATTTTCAAAATGAAAGAAAGGATCTGCTTGTCCTAAACCAACTGTAGAGGTAGTAATTCACAGTATTGGTATATTATATTAAGTTTAAGACCTGCAAGAAAAGCAATGATACTGTTTTATAAAACTATTTGTAACTATAACACTTAAAGAAAAAATGACACTGAATCCAGGAAATCATATAATGAAAAATATAGATGTTATAACATATTGCAGTCACACATTTTAATGAAATATTTACCTTTGTAATAAAGGTACCCTGTCTTAACTGTTTCCTGTATACTTGATGTTTATAATTTCTTTTGTTTTGTTTTTGATTATTTCCTCATTTCCCAGAAATAAAGGTAAGCCTTACATATGTATCCCTGGCAAGAAGAATTATTTTTTCCCTTCCTCAGTGA